TCTTTTAGTTGTATTTTTGAAGTGGTTGTTTGCGGCAGCAGTCTCCGGTGTTTACCTATGCCGCCATCTTGGTCTCCGCCCTCCATAAAAATCTTTTTAAAGAAATAAAAATAATAATGGCATAGTAAGTACATGACACAATGCATTTGTCAAAACCCATGGAAAAGTATAGCACAAAGAGTGAACTTTAGTAAATGCAAATTTTAAAAGATTTTTTAGGATGTTGGATGGAATGCAGAATGAGAAAACAATCTAGCTGTATGACAAATGTATAAAACGAGTTCACCAAAGCGGTGAAGGAAGAGATGTCAACCTAAGTAACTTTGGAAATGAGTGAAGTCTATAAGACTAAAGGCAAAAACTAAATAAACAAAACAAACACATAGAACAACAACAACTGTACATAAGCACTGTACTCTGATAGCGTTAGATATTGGTTAGTCCATATTGCTATAAAGAATTGAGTAAATAAATAACTAAATGGCTGGGGAGAGGTAGGGAGAAACAAAATAGACAAGTCTCCCATTCAGAAGACTTCCCAATAATTTATGTAGATAAGCCACCACCCCACATTTTAAGTGTGGGTTGTGCATAATGACTTCTTTTCAATGAGTACAGCTTGGAAAGGGGTGGGGGAGAGTAACTTTATAGTTGAAAACACTGGCAAATACTGCCTTAGCTAGGTAACCAGGGTTAACATCAACAATGATAAGTCATGTTGATAGCATGTGCCTTTGATATGTAATTAAAATGACATTTTACCTCTGTGGTCTTCCTCCCCCAAACACATAATTTCCGAATAATCATTAAAAAACAATTGTGGGACATTCTACAAAGTATCTGACCAGAAGTCCCCCAAACGGTCATGGTCATCAAAATCAAGGAAAGTCTGAGAAATTGTCACAGCCATGACTACCAAATTTAATGTGGTATCTTGAATGAAATCCAGGAACAGAAAAGGGGTTTTTTTAGGTAAAAAAATTAAGAAAATGTGAGTGAAGTATGAACCTTAGATAATAATAATGTGTCATATTGCCTTATTAATTATAACAAAGGTGCCATGCAATGTACCATACAAATGTAAGATGCTAATAACGGAAACTGAATGTGAGGTATATAGAAACTCCATACTATATTCATATTTTTTCTGTAAATTTAAAACTGTTATAAAATAAAACATTTACTAAAAATAATAAGAAATGGTTAACATTTATGAAGCACTCATTATATAACAGGCACTTTTACTGCATTAACATTAAAACCAAAAAATAACTGGTTCCAGAAAAATGCCACTTTTAATGAATCAACCAAAATAGCATCTTAAATTTCATGGTAAGTAATGAAAAAGGAGGTTTGATTGGATGTTCATTTTGAAAAAGAAAATTAAAATTATGAAATTAATTTTATTAAAATAGAGATATTTATATTATGATGTATATTTATATGGGGATTCTTAGAACAAACAAATTATAACAACTGTTTTGTTATAATTTTTAAAACTCAAATTTATGATGTCCTGAAATGGCATATTTTCTTTATAGTATTATCTTAAAGAGGATGTTTTTACAAAAAATATTTTATGACTTGCTTAATTTTTTTGATATTCCTCTTAATTATCTGATGCTCAAGTCATTCTCCTCTGGAGAAACTATCCTATTATCATCCTCATCTCCCATGAAGTTGGCCAGATCCCTTCAGTTAGAATTAATCTTCCCTGCCTTTGACTTCCAGAATCATTTTGTTCCTACTTCTCTGATAATCTTTAGTTCATTCTGTTGGGTATTAGAATTAGTTGTTCAAATGCTTTTTCTCTGCCAAAATAAATGGTACTAAGAATTGCAACAATGTCTAAGGACATTTTATATTCTCTGCAGCACCTAAAATAGCACTTTGTGTTGAGTCAACCTCAGTTTCCCCACTTATAAACTAGAGAAGAATAATAAAACCTGCAATTCTTAGTTTATAAGTATATTGTGAGAACTCATGAGCTTGAGTTTCCCCCAGCCAGGGCCATGAGGCCATTGGCACTATCCTGGTCTTCCTGGATAATACTAATACCTCTGCTTCCTAAGCCACATCAGGGAGAGTTTAGAACTTCATCTCTTCCCAATAGAGCATGGAATATATCTCAAAGTGCATGGTAACTCCAATCTATTGACCTCTGACATTGGAGGTGTAGTGCTGAGAACAATTCTGAGACATTTTCCAGGACCAATGGGAGAGAATGCCATGATAGGCTAGAAATGTCTGCCATGACTTTATAATTAGGAACTGATAGTACATGAACCATAGTCATGGAATATGGCTGCCAGCAATACGTCAGCCCCTGTACCTATATTTCTCCTCCCCTTGATGCTGATCTGGCCTTGTAACTTGTTTTGACAAAGAGAATTTGGAAGTGATTTGATAGTTCTTAAGCGAAGCCTTAAAAGAGATTAGCAGTTTTTGCTTCCTCTCTTTTTAGAAACTAGATGCCATCTAAGAAGTCTGACTAACCTGAGATCATCATGCTGAATGGAAGCCCAAGCTAGCCACGTGGAGAAAGAGGGTCACGTGAAGATCACTGAGGTCCAGCAAGGTGAATGAAGTCTCACGGGATCTTCAGGCCCACTGAATGAAGCTGGGTGACTCTAAGTGACACGGTGTAGAGCTGAAGAGCCATCCAGCTGAGCCCTGCTCTAAATTCCTGCCCCACAGAATCATCAAAAATAGCCACTCATTGTTTTAAGCCATTGGGTACTAAGGTGGCTTATCACACAGCAATAGATAAGTGAAACATGGTAGTTGGGACATAGTTTTGCAGTTTCTAAATTAAAGGGTCCTGGTCAGCTCTCAGGCCCTGATCCCAAGTAATGTGATCCAATTGGTCAGGGACTGATGTATTTTAAAAGCTCTCCATGAGACTCACACATAGGTCATAGGTCCCGCTGGAATTACAGGTGCTATGCATTGAGTTAGAAAGTCATACTGAACTGAAACAGAGGGGTAATACTTTAGCACATTATTAGTATCTGGGATTGGCCAGATAAACAAAATAAAACAAAAACAAAACCTCCTCCTTGTCATCTACAACATGCCTCACAAGGTCAGGCAAGCAGCAGAAAGGCAGATAAAGGAAAACACAGCAATCACAGATAGATGAGTAAACCAGCTAATAAAAGAATACTCTTGTTTTATTCTGAGGAAAATATTATTTTTTCTATGTCAGTCATTTCTGTACTAAATGAAGATTGCCTGGAGTTGGGTGACAAAGGTCTGCATTTCATTTCTATTAACGTCTTGAGCTAAATTTGCAGTGTTGATAACCCATTAAGTCCTAATCCCTAGATTTAGGCCCAGTAGTACCTCAACATAACATAATTAGCCACATAATAAAAAAGAATAATATTTTGGCCCAAGATTTTCAGAATTGTATTTAGTCCCATTTTCAACTGAAATTTGGATAACAAAAAGTTTTGACAGTTTTTGGTGAAAACAGGAGAGAAAGGAGTTTAAGATTGTGTCAAGTGCTATTAGACATTTTCTTATTACACTGGAAAATCATTAAGGAAATACGTATGCCAAGCCACACCACCAATTTCGAGGTATTGACTCTAACTGAGATGTCAATATTCAAGTCACATCAGCAGAGTTTAACCTCAACTAAAGTCTACGGATACAAGACACTTTGTCTGCCCTTTAAACCATTTATATCTTTGCTTCAGGCAAAGTGCATTCTGTCCCTATTGATATTTAATTGTCAGGCACTTGAATCTAAAACTGTAGATTTAGCTGAACAGAGAGACTTGGAAAGAGAGAGAGATTGAAAGAAAGAAGAAAGAAAGAAAGAAAGAAAGAAAGAGGAAAAGAGAGAGAGATTGAAAGAAAGAAAGAAAGAAAGAAAGAAGGAAAGAAAGAAAGAAGAAAAGGAAAGGGAAGAAAAGAAAAGAAAAGAAAAGAAAAGAAAAGAAAAGAAAAGAAAAGAAAAGAAAAGAAAAGAAAAGAAAAGAAAGAAAATGAAAGCCAGCCTTCACTGGAGGCATGTCTGCCTTTGAAGCTTCAGATTTCAGAAGCTGAAATAACAGTCTCCAGTGGTTTTGATTATAATCGTTGCTATGTGGTCCTCCCATTTTCCAGGGCACCTCATGTAAGACCACGTGTGCAATTGGTTGAATAGCGCTGATTAGTGAATGAATATGACATAGAAAAACCTAGAGGTCTTTCAGCCCCCGGCCGCTTTCCAGGAGGGGGAAGAACATCCTCTGGGCAAACACATTCAGCCTTTGGATGTGTTAAAACACTGTCATTGCTCCAATTTCTACTCATGTGGATTTTTCCTGGCTCCAACTCAGTGACCTGATTCTCTAATTTTCCTCCCTCTGAGAACATACTTTTTCTTAAGTTATTTTTTCTCTGAAATCCACACCGCCTCCCCTCCCTTCCCTTTTGATTTTTTATTCAGTCTGGAAACTACCTCACCAGTTGTAATTAGCCTGAATACTTGAGGGAGGGAGGAGGGCTCTCCTCAGGAAATAGCCAGAAAAAAAGCATGATTCCTTCTTGTAAGAGTAAGGAAGAGAAACCCAGGCCCATGCAAGCTAATTAAATCTCTCTTTGCTTTTTCATCTATTGTAAAGCACCACGCTCTGATGAAGGGTTATTCTTCGTGTTACTTTATCATCTTGATGGACCCATATCACACATTTTCAGCTAGTTAAGCCAAATATACTTTCTAATATACTTTTTTAGTCTGAGTGAAGAGCAGAAACATATAATTTCTAGGTATCATGTTAGCAACTTTCTGTTTTTCTGTGTGCCTGTGCTGAACAAAGCTTGCCTAGAGTTGAGTGAGAGAGGTCTGCAAGTTGACATTCCTATTAATGTCATCTTGAGTGAATTTTTCAATGTGTTAGTGAGTCTGTTTGATCCTTACAAATATTATTTCTGTGAAAAAATTACAATGTCGCTTGTGTTTTTTTACATGTTACTTTTTCCAATGATGATAACTATTACTCATGCATGTTGTACTCTGGTGTTTTAACTATATTATCTCAATTAGTCACCGAAATAATCCTGAAAGTGGTTATTGACATCCCCATTTTACAGATGAAAAATCTGAAGCTTGGAGTTAAGTATAACTTGCCCAGGGTGGGCACAATTAGTAAATGTTAGCCCTGAGGTTCAAACCCAGGGCTCTTTATCTCTAAGCCTTTATATTAACTGTTATCCTAAACTGCCTTTCAAAAACATGCACTGCCCTTTGAAATTATTGAAGAGGGAGAGAAAGAGGAAGAAAAACTTTTTAAAGAAAAGAAAGAAGCCCTAACTGGTTTGGCTCAGTGGATAGAGCATTGGCCTGCGGACTGAAGGGTCCCAGGTTGGATTCCGGTCAAGGGCATGTACCTTGGTTGCAGGCACATACCCAGTGGGGAGTGTGCAGGAGGCAGCTGATCAATGTTTCTCTCTCATCGATGTTTCTAACTCTCTATCCCTCTCCCCTCCTCTCTGTAAAAAAAATCAATAAAATATATTTTTTAAAAAAGAAAGAAAGAAAAAGAATAAACATGTTTCCTATTTGTACATAGCATGCAGGTGATGGCAGGTATGGGAGAGAAACTGTTCAGAACTGTTAAATCTAGGGCAAGGTGGAGCAGAGAACACCTGGTTTGTAGAGGGTTAATTTAATACAAGAAAGCATGTTATCTGGTTACCCTGTTTCCAAGAATGACTATAGGCAATGCCTTGGTTAAAAATCAGTGATTGAACTTGACGAAAATATTGCCTATCTCTAATCACCAAGAAATCACTGAGCTGACATACAATCTTCTTTATGAATTTGTAGTGATCATTATTGATTTGGAAAAGATATTAACTTCTCCCTCTTTGTACATAAAACATGAAATTCTGGTTTTCAAACAAATACAATTTCATAAACATTCTCTTGACCTTTTAATATGTATAAAAATGAGAAGAAATATAAAGACAAAATCTTACTTCATCATGCTTGTACACCCCCACTTTGTTCTAGGACCATGATATTTTATTCCTTTCACTAAAATGAATAATCATTAGATTCTAATTTTAAAATCTCTGTTGATTTGTATTAGTTTGTCAAAATTGATGATAATGTGCACTTGCTGTATGATTGCTTTATTGATAAATACCCTCTTTACACCAAAGCATCCTGATTAAACAGCCATTACACTGACACCAAAGGAAACAGAAACCTACTCTCTGGTTTGTGCAAGGTAATTATTCTGTGTGTCCAAAAGATAATTATGGTTGCAACTTCTTGGCTGTATCATTAATGAAGCTCCTGATGTTTTCCAGAGCCGGTTTCCAGGGAGACCACAGCTGAGAGTTGGCTGCCTGGCTAAAACAGAGTCCTTAAGAGAGGCCTGGGTGAAATCATGGGAGACGCTGGTCACTGGTCAACAGATACTCAGCAACTTATGGGAAATGTAATTTCATTTTACCTTTGAAGTTCATGTCAAGAAGATCATTCACTTGTGTGACCGTAGCACTGAGACCTTTTTGTAATTTCCCATCGCTGAGGGGGTTCCACGGTGCATTAAGTATCTAAGGTGTTTAAAAAGCATTACAGCCTATTAAATCCACAACCCATCAAATAGGAAGCTCGATAGGTACAAAAGAAAAATCCACAAGAACAGTTTTCTATGTGGCTGTTGCTCTGTAATACAAAAAATATATATGCCCTTTATGAAAAGTGCAGGTATTTGGGTCCTGGGGATCATTGATAAGTGGAATGAATATAAAGGGGGAAAAATTCAACTGCTTTTATCTAATTTCATCTGTAGCATGTTTTTGGTTTCTGGTAGCAAATGTGGCTAGAGGTGTCTGTGGCATCACATATTCAAGACATTCGAAGTCATTTTCTTAGAATTCATGACTTCTTATTTTCCATGCCAAAGTTTAACCACACCTGTGTATCCAATGCCCAGAAAGAGACCTTCTCATTGCAATAAAAATATCTTCAGTCAGGGACTTCTCTAATTTTGCTTGGCTTTGGTCTTATAAAATGACTCACCTAACACTTATAAAAACTTGTCCCCATATTGGATAAATAAAATATAACTGAATCACTGATTTGCAGTAACTAACTGTACTAACTACCCCTTATTCATTTGGAGATAGAAGGGTTGCACCTTTCATCCTCTGAAATAAAACTACCTTTTTTTAATAGACCCTTGAGAAAATCACCATTTGACTTCTGGACAGTGTTTCAGACATCAGTGTTAATTTTATTAAGCAGTATAATCAGAAAGTCACTTGAATCATCATGTAATAATTTGTGCTTCTGGACCTTAATAGTCATGGCTCTAAGAACTGAACACTCAAAAAATCATCCCAACAAAAAGAGAACTAATCAACCTAGTGTTATTCAGAACCCAAAGTAACTCACTGTAGTGATTTTCATCTATAAAAATATTATCTTTAAAAAAGAATAGGGAAATAATAATTTTTGGAGGCTTCTTACAGTGATGGTGAGTTGGTAACTTCAGAAACTGAAAAGGAAGTAGGCACATTTTATAAAATCTTATATCAAGTACACATAATCTATAGAACAAGGGAAAATTCCTGAACTCCTCCAGAGCTTCACTATCCTCTGAGGCAAAATTGAAGTGGTTGTACTGAGAGAGCTAGCAGATGATATGGAGAATAATTTATGAATAATTTAAATATTTTTTATTGATTTCAGAAAGGAAGGGAGAGGGAGAGAGAGATAGAAACATCAATGATAAGAGAGTATCATTGATTGGCTGCTTCCGGCAAGCCCCCTACTGGGGATTGAGCCCACAACCTGAGCATGTGCTCTTGACCGGAATAGAACCCGGGACCTTCCAGTCTGCAATCCAACGTTCTGAACACTGAGCCAAACCAGCTAGGGCTAATTTATGAATAATTTAAATACAAAAAGAGTTTTTAAAAGTTCAGCGTATAAACCCAAATATCTATAGTGTCACAACACTTTACAATAATATACAAAACTAACTCACTTTTAAATCCTGCTTGTAAGTATTACTTTTTCTACTACGTTTGCATTTATTTATGTAAAAACTTTCTTTTTCAGATTATAGTTTCATATTTATTTAAC